AAATTTTCACCAAATGTTTATGTTAGTGTTATCTATATACAGTTTAATTTTCAAAAATTTTTGACTTTTTTGAGTTATTTATAGACCACTGAAATATTCAATGTTTTTGAGAATTTTTTTTTGAAGTGTCGGTAAAAAAATGTTGTACGACCAAAAAAACTTGAAAATTTAATACAAGGTTCCTTATGAGTTGTTCTTATTGTAGCTGAAAAAAATTAAAAATCGTAAGTCACAATTTTTTTTAATAAGCGTTTATAGTTCAAAATTTTACGAAATCTGTCGAAAATCTTAGTCCGTGATGACAACCTTACCGTATGAGTGATGATAATAAATAATAATAATATGTCGACTGCGACCACACGTCTGGCTAATTGCAAGTCGTAATTCACTGACGTGTTTCGTTGCCCGACAACGGGAGTACGGGACGGGTACAGTTTTCCCGATTTTATGGCAATGCCATATAAGAAAAATGTTAAGTACAATATTTTTAATTTTTAAAAAGACTACACTGCAAGACCTCGTCCGTTTGCGCCTCAACAGTCAACATAGGTATTTGATACTAGTATTACTCTATGATTTACAACAGAACACCGCCTCTATCAGCTTACTCATGATTCATGAATGGTGTGCCCAGTAGATTTTAAACTAAAATGATAACCGTACTCAGTCTGGACAGTCTGCATTGATAACGCTGATCGTGGCTGTTGTTAATCTGTTTCTGTTGGGTCTTGGGTACGATCCCGGTTTTCGAATATAACAACAAGTTGTAACTTTTAACAACACGATTTTTTGCTGCTGCGAAACGAAGAACACCGAACGATCGCTGAAAACAAAGAAAAGACATTCCGGAAGATGATCGACGACGGACGTACTACGACGTCTCGCCGGTTGCCAAACAACAAAAGATAATCACTCGAAGTTTACTGGTGCACCAGTGAGCAATAGAGGTTTGTGGTGGTGTATCTGTCAGATCGATAACCTTAAGCTTCAAAGAGATGTCGACCTGCAGTTCTAACTGTTTGCTCATGCTGATGGTCAATGTTTGTCTGTACATGAGTGTTGTGTGTTTCTTCTCGTCGTCCAGTTTGATTGTCAATAGTTGCATTGACAACAATTGGCTCAATGAGGTAAATTTTAGTTTTTAAATTGTATTAAATTTTAAATTATTAGGTATTATTAGTTATATTGTTTACTCCTTAGATATCTATTACCTATTCTTGTTTTATTAGATTCTGTACTTATTTTAAAAAAGTAGGCCATGTTTGATATTCAATTTGTATTACATTGTATTCTGCCTTAACACATCAATAAATGCATGGCCATGATTGAATGTGATCAGCATGCTATGTCTGTGTAGTCTTTTTAAAAATTATTATTCAGAATTTGATAGTTTTCTGTCATCAAAAACTATAAGCTCATTTAAAATGCCTGGAATGTGCCCTAGTTAAATAAGCATACATACTGGAGAAAGTTGAAATGAACTCTGTCAAAATTAGTTGCATTTAATAACTCATTTATTAGCCATTCTAACAATATTTATGAATAACTTTCATGAAATATATTGAAGCAATAGTAGGCATATTTGATGATTAGTATATTTTTATTATTTATATTATTAAAATACATTTGTGTGAGAGACTTGGGATATTTTTTAATTGCACAATTAAAATATGAAATTACCTCATAGCAGTCTCAAATTATTGAAGTATACAATCATATTATGTATCGTTATGCATATTAAAGTTTATGTTGCATATAAGTTGTTTGGTTTATTAGATGCAAATTAATTATGATTATGTTCTTGATATTTGTCTTTTCAATTGTTTGATTTACAAGTGTGTATTTATACATTTTGATATTTTATCTGTTCATAATTATATAATTATAGTTGTGTTATTCTTACAAAATGTATGGTACAACTGTTTAAGTATCACATGTAAGTTATGAAGTTTCATAAAGTTGATATTTTTTTATTTTATTAACCTGTGTTTATCATGAATCATGATCAAAATACACACACGCGCACATATGTGAGAGAGAGAGAGAGAGAGAGAGATTAAAATAACAATATTAATACAGGATATCAGAAAGTTCTTCGATCACAAAGAATAAAAAAAAAAACTATAATTTACATACTTAATATAGGTAATTTAAATTTATTTTTATTTATTTACTGATATTATGTATTATTAATTTCATGCATTTTGTACACTTAAAATGAGTTTTTTTCGACGAAAATTCTATTTCACACATTTTTTTAAAGAACCTTTAAATTTGTTAAATAGAGGTTCTACTTTATTTAAATGAAATTATTTATTGTAAATACATATTATTATTAATTGATAGGTACTATGTATAGTATACTAGATTTGACTGATTTGGGACTATGTATATTGTATGTAGTACGAAAATTTGGCTTATTTTAGGGACTGGGCTAAAACCATGTATGTGAAGCATATAATTAACGTATAAATAATTCAATTTTGATAGCGAGATGATAAAATCCTGGGTCCAAATACTAAATTTTAGAAGGCCAGATTAGATCAGTAGAGTAACCCAGGATTTTAGTAACACATGAAAAATTGGCTTACATCCATATTTGTCGCATATTTGTTATCAAGTCTTTATTAAGGTAACTCCCTATAAAAAGTTATGGCCATGAGGCAGTTTCTCTCAAGGGACAGTGATATCTATACTACTGGTCAGTTAATAGTCATAATGTTTTGCATGATTTCAAAACATGTTTTAACTTGTGTTTTAATATGAATGCAATTTTTTTCAAGCCATCACTGCTTTTCATGATAGTGCAAAAAAATATTTTCTTATGAATATATATCACATTATTTCATATTGAGCTTTGCCACTATATTATTAACACATAAAAATACTATTTTTCCTTTTTAATCAAACCTATTTAAAAAAAATATACAATAATATTAAACGAAAAAAATAATTCTTAAATCATATTAATATTGTATGTTAAGTATTAGATACAAATAAAATTATTTTACATTATATGATAACGATACATACCCACTACCCATTGTATCTTCATATACTTCTTTATATGCGTAGATATACAATGATATCCAACACAATATTTATTTTTTTCACTATTTAGTAATATATATCTTCATAAAATGTATACATAACGGGAATTCGAGACTGCTGTATATAATATTATTCTGACTCAACACCAAACCTCTTTCTGTGTTAGGCTTTATCTTGTACTTAACATTAGTGTTTGTTATAGACACAACAGGCAAAAGTGATATACTAAGTACCTGCTATTATTTTTAACAACAGAAAATTTACTTCAAGAAAATTATCCTTTTCTTCATTTGTTTTTCTAAAGTAAATTTTGGGTCAAATTAATGTTATAATTAGTGAATACTTATCTAGATGAACCACATGAAGTTTTTACAATTTATATTGTAATATATAACATATTGTGTTAATTTATTAATAATCTAATCTTGCTAACAAATCATTAGAAACAGTTTAATAAGTATAATATGTTCATTATATACAATAGATGAATAGAATAAACTGTCAAGTGTTGTTATCTCATATTTTTCTCGATTATTTTTAAAAGTTGTAGCTACTGGATACTAGGCATTTTTATTTTTGACCCCTGAAGCCGAAACACACTATTGTATTTAAAATACAATAAAATCAATATATTTTTTGCTATATTTGGTATTAAAATGTAAATTCATGAATATCTATAATAAGCAGAGACGTAATCAAAATTTGACGCCCGCGCGAATGCTAATGTCCCCTCCCCCGGCCACCACCACTAAAATTAGTTGACTTTCCACCTCCAAAACGTATTGCGGCGGAGCTTACCTTATGTTGACCACTTGTAATAACCACGTAAATCGTTATCCTTTCAGGCGCATTATGTTATTATATTGTTATAAATTAGTCACAAATACAAAATAGGTTTTTTAATTATCTGTTAACTATTTAAAATTAAACAATAAATATTTAATCATATAGTTTTTTGTGAGGTTTAGATGAACCTAGCTTATTGCTTATCGATAATCACTAAATCACATTATTACCTATAAATTACCCTAATTCACTCCTTTAATATCAAACTCGACACTCAATCCATTCTCTCTTCACCAAATGTACCAATTATTACCTCACTTTTATCCTTCTTCAACCAGACTGGTTTAAAAATTTAATTTATCTGTAATGTTATTTTTGTTGTTAATCTTGCTTTCATATGTAATATTTATAATCATTATTGTCGAAGCTAATTGTTTACAAAGTTTCTTTTAATAAAAAAAATAAAAAAAAAAAAAAAAAAACCTATAAATCTTGTCTATATCCCCGTGGAGCTAGTTGGTGTTACAATATTAAAATATTATTGAAAAAAAAAAACCAATTTATATAGTCGTTCATTAACAGAAGATAGGCTATATAAAATCTAATATGTACCTGTACCACCCGTCCCGATCACTCACTCACACTGGTATAAGTAACCAGTGTATTAAATAGACGTGAATTTAAAAATAAATAATTTTAAAGTTGCATAAGTAACTAATATTTTAACAAATAAAATATAGAACTACTAGGTAGTATTACTATCTACTATATGTACATATTTGCATAAATTATTTAATGAAAAGAAATAAACATAACATTTTGGAAGGTACATAATAAAAATCGTCCTCTGGAAAATGTTTGAAAATAAAAACTATATGTGCTCAAACAACTCTTTATATTCATTATTCTATTAATCGAAAAAAATGACTCCTACTGTTCAATAATTCTAGCATCCTTCATTTATTTTAATCTCTATATTTGAACTAATTGCAGTACTATATTATAAAATTTTATAGTTGGTAACGAAAAAAATATAATTTATTACATTAAAACGCATGTCTTATTTTTTTTATCTGTTATTAAATACCTTTAAATCTTCATATTATTACATATTATTTACTTAACGTTTATTTATCATATAATAATTATGTTCCTCTGACATAAATACAATATTTGGATGTAACATTTTAACAAAAAATATTCAATTTTTCGTAAATTCGCGCAAATAATATTATATTGTATAAACATGACAATATAAAGATATTTAGAATTTTGAAGGTGAATACTTTATATGATTCAATAATAAAGTTTATATATCAAACGACAAACGGTATAAATATAGATCTAAAAAAAAAGAGTTCTATAAAAAATTAAGAAATGATATTATTTAATATTTTGTTACTAACAATCAAACATGATTTTACATGTATAATATAAAACAAAAAAAAATAGTTTATAATAATGATTTATGATTTATGTTGTTTAATTTTTTTGATTGATTCCTTTCTAATTTTTAAACCCGGAATTCTACTTATCTCTTATGAACGTAGTTAGTATCGTATGATCTATTTTTAGCTTTATTATTAGTGTACCAAATCTATGGGTGTTTAAATATATATATATATAAGCATATCATGATGTTTTAATTGTTATTTGTAAAAAATAATGTCATATCCCACTTAAAATGATTACACTACACATTAGCCATATGGCCTACTGTTTCAAAAATAAGTTGTTGGTTACTGCGTATATTGCATTATAATTATTGACTATTATTATTATTAAGTTCAAAGTTCCAATTTTTTAGATATTTGTGATTATATTTATTAAGAATTGTGAAATGCCATCGAAGTCAGTATAGGTATAAGTATTTTTACTAAAATAATCATATGAGATAAGTTACAACGTACCTAATAATTATTATAATATAAACATTATATTATATTATATTATATTGTATTGCAGCCAAACTCTTCGTAGACAATTTGGTTACAAACTCAAAATTTGTTATTTAAAAATAATTACCCAAATTTACAAAATTCATAGGTTCTGTAACTTGACCTTTACAGTGGAATTATTATTCATTAAAGATTAAACGTTTATTTTATTCTTGTTCTGTAACTACTGGTTGATATTCAATGTTTTCATTACATTTCATTAAATACTAAGCACTAATAGTTGATTTTTTAGCCGAGTTTGCCATTTAGATTTCTATAGTATTATTTACACTTATTCCACAATTAAATATCAAACATATATTAAACAAATTATTATTTATTTATTGCAATTAATAGTATTTATGTATAATATTATTATTTGTATTGTATTTTATATGTTATACGATGTATGAATGTATAATACCTAGTAGGTATGTAGCGCACACGACGGAGTCAAAATAGTTTGACAACAGTTTTTGGTGCAGTGACAATAGGGTATAATGACATTACAGTTTTAATAATTCCCGCATGCACATCATATATAGGTATACACGTATATTATGATTATTATTAATCCTTGTACCATTTTTTTTTTGCGTATTACGTATAATATATACAATATAGGAATATAATATTAATAATGTTTGTAAAATGAATAGTAGTGCAAAATTATAACCATGTGCAAATTGTACTTATAGATTGGTTTTATGTACTTCCTGATGGTCAAAATAATAATTGATGTTATTGTTTGGTTTACAGCTAAAAGGGAATATCGACGAGACAAACAGCACAGTAGAAATCGTTGATAAATTTAATAACTATCAAATATACCCTCGTATTATCAGTATTGTTTCGAAAGATTATTTTAAATTTTTTAAGGTAAGAATTTATTAATTTTTATTCATGGTCTTGACTTACAATATGTGCCTATTTACATTATTAGGTAAATCTACGTAGAACTTGTCCATTTTGGTCAGACGACAGCAAATGTGCTATGAGATACTGCCAAGTGGAGTCCTGCCAGTTGGTAATAAATAATAATGATTCGCGTTAAACAAGAAAATTTATTTATATTGTATTTTATGGTTTGTATGTAGGACGATTTACCCATAGGTTTGAAAGGTAGTCGTAATAGTTTAGTAGATGAAGATATGTCGATTAAGGTGAGTGTTTTGTAAACGTGATAAATTATCAAACTTTAAGACGTTTTTACTGTAATTTAATGTTTAAAACAAAGTGTAAAAACATATACATTAATATTTTCCTAGTGTGGTTACTGTTTCCGTTCTTCTACTTGGTCTCAATTTCACAACTATAATAAACGAATATACCGCGTAACCCATTCTACGTATTCCTTAAATTTAAATCGCTCGATCCATATTTTGTTTGCTTTTAATTTTTATATTTTAAAAATAATAGTAAATTTATATTTGCCTTTACAGTATATGGAAGGACCGCAACAACAAGAGTGTGAAGAAGCAATGCAAGACGAATTGGGTTACATTAACACAACTATAAGGTCAGTTTAAGACGTTATCGATTTCATTAGTAATAAAAGCTAGTAATTCGTGGATGTCGCTCTGCTGTATAGTAGGTACATTACATTACTGTAATGGATGGAATTAAATTTGAATCCAATGATAGATAATATTATATCATTGTATACGAAAAACAATTTTGAGCGGAGACGGTTTATCTGTCTAGGATATATTATAGATTATTAAAAATTTTCAAATCATAGATTTAAAAAGAAWATTTTTTATRAATTTCTAGCTTAAAATAATTTGCRAAATTTTGTGATTTTTACGTATTTTGTCAAAATTCAAACTTTGAATGCTAATAAAAAAAAATTGTGACTGAATTTATTTTATTTTTCAACTGCTATTTTAAAAATATGTTAGGAATCTTTTATTAAATTTTCAAATCTTAGATTGAAAAAGAAAATTTTTTATAAATTTCTAGCTTAAAATAATTTGCGAAATTTTGTGATTTTTACGTATTTTGTCAAAATTCAAACTTTGAATGCTAATAAAAAAAAATTGTGACTGAATTTCTTTTATTTTTCAACTGCTATTGTAAATAAACTAATAATGATCGAAAATTGCATAAGCCTATAAATAATTAATTTAAGTAAAATTCGGTGAAAATTTCATATATCCTATGGTCATTTGTTTTAAACTTACATTAAAAACCAAAATCGATTTTGTCGAAAACTGATTGTGTGAACAATTTCCCGGTTTTCCCTTAATTTTTAGTTTGTTTATCCCGATTATTTAGAAAGATATTAATAATTATTTATTTTTGACTCCCCAMAGTACCAACTAGATTCTCTTTCTGATCAAACGATGTATTGAAGTCAAAAATCGAAGCACTTTTACTGCTCCAAAATGTGTATGACATACACAAAAAAATAAAAATAAAACACACATCTTGGTAAAATCAACACATTCCTCGCTCCGCTCAGAATTTAAAAATTGATATTTGGTACGGATAAAAAAATGCTTGGAAACTATTAAGTAAAGCAAATTTTTTTAAAACAAAAGTTATTGATATTATCATAAGTTATCACTTATGATATTATATTTGAGTTTTATTTGATTTTAGTAAAAACAATGTATTTTTAATAATGAATTGCCTATTACCTAGAATCTGGATAAGTATTTAATATTCTCCGCTTTTCCAAACAGATTCAATCATACAACTGAAAGGAGAAATTCTACTAATAAGTATATGAAATAATAAAATATAACATACTTACCTATGTAAATTGTAAATACATAATATCATAATATATTGTTTGGCATTTGCAAAAAAACTTTAATTTTTATAACAGGTTTTTATTTAATTAGAATATTAATATATTCGTATAATTATTAAGCRCATGAAACGTAGTATACAAGGTGTAACAGAAAGAACAGACTTTTGGAATAACTTTTGTTCTAATTAATATTTTTAACTTTTTTTTTTATTCATCATTAAAAGACTTTAGGGCTATATGTAAAATTTATTTATTTTTATGTCAATTTTTTAGTATTGAAAATAAAAAATTTAAAATTTGATTTAAATTTTTTTAGATAAATTCAAAATAGCTAATTTGTGRATCTGATTATAAAATAATTTTGATGGTAAAAAGATTTATCTAAGTCAATTAGTTTATTTTTTAGAATTTTTTAAAATATCAATATTTTTTTGAGAAAATTAATTTGGTACCTAATTACTTTTTAAAAAATATGATTTTTGGGAATTTGTTGAAATGAGAATATTTCTTAAATTATTTAATTATTATATAATACTAACAATTTTTGTCATAGATTTAATTAGTGTATTTTTTATTTTATTTTTAGTCAGTTCTTTCTGTTACACTTATAATTATTCTTATAAGTTGAAAAATTAATTTCTATTTATTAACTCTCCATTTTTTTTTATCATTATAATTTATAATCTATATTATTATAATTTATTATCGCCGACGACGAAGCAAAGTTTGAAAAAAAAAGATTTGAAAAGATACACAATGTTTGCAAATTGATTTGAATATTATCCAGGATTTGTGTAATAAATATAATTTATCTTTGAACCTAAATAGATGCATAAATATTTCGCTTTCATTACAAAAAAAATCCTGTAATATAATTGTTGTCTATAGATTAAATGGCCTAGCTGTTCGAGATGTATTTAATCTTGATTAACAATTTTAATATTAAATTTGATTCTAAATCAACTTATAAATTAATTATTTATTAACTCATGAAAAGGTATTTTAGTTTTTAGAAATTCGTCTTATTAAAGCTAAGACCATGGCTAAGACTAAGAATTATAAGGATTTTCATGATTAGAATTATTAAATTGATTATTTATCTTACAGTGTTGTGCAGTACATGAAAATTACAATTCCCTCTTATTATGAACGATTTTTTTTATCAATTACTCGAAAACAAAATAATCTTTTCCATTATTTTTAGACTCGTTATCCACTCCAAAAGTCTTGATGTTTTGAATATCCAAGCCGAGGTTTTCAATAGCACGTAAAATATCATTGAAAATTGATTCATTAGAAGCTATCAGACTTTTTGTAAAAATGTAAATAATAAGCTTTAACCCCTTTTTTTCTCAACCAAAAAAATCATACTGCTTATAAGAAAAATTGCAATTTCCTTTATTTTATGCATCAGTAGATAAATAAAACGATAAATTGTTTTTTTGACATTTATTATTATATATGAATTTTTTAAGTTTTTAAGTGGATTTTTCATTGCAAAAGGTGTAAATACATTTTATACTAAAGCTATGATCTGAATTACTAGAACGAATTTAACTTTAAAATATACTTTGGAACATCCAAACATGCGATTTTTATTATTATTATATATTATACCATTTATACCTACCAACATAACATCCTTCTGTTTTTTTGGATACTCGGATCTAAAAATACGAAATAGGAAGGGGTGGATAGAACAAAATATATACAGTAATAATATACACTATTTAGTTTTTTACGTACTTTTTTTTTAATTATTGAATTTTCTTTCTGTTAAAAAATAACATTATCATAATTTATACGTTTTGCTCAATACAGTGCTGCAGCTATGGAAGATTTTGCTCTCTGGCAGGCCCACGATGACATACAAGACATGTACTGTACACTTCCTGATGATGACGGGGAAGCGGAGTATGTTGACCTATCTCTAAACCCTGAACGATACACTGGATACAAAGGACCTTCAGCTAATCGCGTGTGGAATACAATTTACATGGAAAACTGTTTCAGGTGAGTATTATTGAACAATTTTGGTGCAATTAAAACTTGTTTTTTTAAATTTTTTAGGCCAAAAAATTTATTTGAAGTCTACATTATATCAGCAAAGTTGACTGGTAAACACTAAATTAGCTGTAATTTGTTTTAATTTAAATTTGATATAAACAATTGATTACAGGAATGTGTTTGGAGAAACGAGCATTTTATCGAGCTATTTCTGGCCTTCATACAAGTATTAATATTCATCTTAGTGCTCAATATCTATTATCAGGTATGTACATAATTATAAATATTTATTTAGTTCTAAAAAATATATATTTATTTATTTTAATCATTCTTAATAGATAAAGGATCAACATTTTTGAACCCATGTGGAACTGGCTTCTGGGGTCCAAGTGCTGAGGAATTTGAACGAAAGTTTGGTCCAAAGTACACTAAAGGTGAGGGCACACAGTGGCTAAGGAACTTATATTTCTTATATCTTGTCGAACTCAGAGCACTGCAAAAAGCAGCACCTTTACTCAAACAAGTAGAGTATTATACAGGAAATGATAAAGAGGATGAAACCACTCGACTTGCAGTCCACAATTTCTTAGAAATTATCAAGTTAGATTTTTTTTATTAGTTATTTTCTTTTTATTTATTTTTATATTTACCTAACTGATGTTTTTTTCTCAGTAATTTCCCACAACAATTTAATGAGCATACCATGTTTTTGGGTGGACAACAGGCACAAAAGTTAAAAGAAGAGTTTCGTCTTCATTTCCGTAATGTATCAACCATTATGGATTGTGTGGGGTGTGATAAATGCAGACTGTGGGGAAAATTACAAGTTCAAGGATTGGGAACAGCGCTGAAAATACTGTTTTCAAACAAAGCACAAACCAATGGATATAATGAATTATCKACCACTGTTAACAAGCACACGTTGCAATTGGAACGTAGTGAAATTGTTGCTCTCTTTAATGCTTTTGGAAGGTGAGAAAAATTGTCTTAAATATCCATAAATTTTTTATATAATCTATTTTATTGTACATTATATAATTCTATAAACAATAAGTCAATAACTAGTGTTAGTTGTTATTAGCATATTTTTTTAAATGATTTTATTGGTGTTTTTACTGTTTAATTGCTATTTAGGAACTCCTGGGAGTTCTGTCTAATAAAATGTGTTATATTTAAAATGATTTATTTGTATACTGCATAATGTCTGCTAAATAGATAATGATTATTTTATCTTATATGTAGTATGTTACAAGAACTATAACATCTAAACTTAAGTTATAACATTTATTATATATTAAATGTGTAAATCTAATATTTTTTCAGGTTATCTACAAGTATATACGAAATAGAAAAATTTCGGAAGCTCCTGAGGTAAACAAGTTGAAATGGTAAAAGAAAAACATCACATCTCATTTTGATTTACTGCAGATGTTGTATACATTGTTATCACTAGGTACATTCCTTCCTTTCTTATCTTTTATAAGTTTTATTTAAGTGTAAGTATGTGATCTGTTAATATATTAAACAGTCAAGTAGTCATACAATTAACTTAATTGACATTTGACAGATAAAAAGCCTCCTGGTGATATTTAATTTATTTTAATATTTGTTTTCTGATTGACTGAGTTAAAATACTGACAGTCATAAAAAATCTGTTTTAAAAGCTCTCTACATAAGAACGATAAATCTACTATTAATTTATTAAAGAATAACAATCTTTGTTTTTTACAAACATTGTTTAGTTAAACTTTTCTATAGTCTAGTCCTTTTAGTAAATTTTTTTTTCAAATGTCTTTGTTTTTTGTTTGATGTCTAAAGTGGTAAACTTTTGTCTGTAAAATTATTGTTATTTATATTTTTAACTGGTTTTTATGTTGTCTTATTTGTTAAGTTTATTTTATCTCAAACTTTAATTTACATTTTAAACAAACTATAGTGTAGCCCATGCACAAATTATTTTTATATTTATACTAATGGTATGAGGTCGTATGTAATTTTTAACATAGAATATTTCAATATATTTGTCGTTCTAAAAATAACTGTTTAAACTATCAATAGCTCAAAATGGGTTTTTACATTATAGTTATACATTAGATATAAAATATAATATAGTTTATCCAGTTTATGTATAAATAGTGGTTACTGTGATAAGTAGGGTAGTGAAGTTATTGCATTAAAAACACTAAATTGATGCATTATTGCATTAAATTATATTAAACATTGCACTTATAATTTATAAATTTAAAAATTGCATTGAAACTATTTAAAAAAATTTAAATATGAATATTGCTTACATTATTACATTGCACAACAAATGATTTTTTTAAGCTTTCAAAATCGAATAATCGTCTGTTATCGCACAGCAAATTTTTGTATCGGGAGAAACTTCTTTCTACATCAGTAGTTGTTGTTATTGGCACATGCTTGAAATAGATTAAATCGTAGCTGGTCAAGTCTTCTGGCAACCCTTCCATTGACTGTATTTCTCCACTCATAATTTTTGATATCTTTCATTTTTTTTGTAAAATAGTTTTGAATTTCTGGTTTATTAATATTCTTATTATTCTATTTTGTCCCGTAATTTTTTCTTTTTTAGTTTCAACGATTTTAACTATAGATAAAGCTTCGATTAATGGAACATGTTGGGTGGGTTTTGAGTTAAGTGATTTCTGMTGGTATGAAACCATAATTGGAGGAATGAATGAATACCAAGTTGGTTTCCATAGAATTATCCGACAAAAGATATCGAGCTTAGCATCATTTGAATTTAATAATTATTATTGTATAACTTTTTTTACTTCTACAAAATTTTCACAATTGTAGGACACGGCATTTATCCGTGTCCCCAATCGGGTTATTATGGACTGAGGAGGTAAATWAATACCTGGAGCTTCTTCTTTAAACAATGAAATACGGGAAGAAGCCTTTAAAAATATTTGTTTTTACATTTTAGAATATAACACTTTAATTATAGCAGCTTCTTTGACCATACTAGGGACCGCATMAGATAAAAATAATAAAACGTCACCCGTGACGCATTCCATTGAGCCATAATATAAACATTGAATTGTCAAAAAGTTTGGCTATTATAGAATGGTTAGCTTTCTCAAGAATTTCCGTAGTGAGTAAAAATATCTTAATCGGTTGATCAAATTCCAAGGTTCCGATTACAACGTTAGCTATGAAACGTCCACTTGTATCTGTTGATTCACCTATAGATACCCATATTTTTTTAACAGGTACATAATTTCTGATAATTTTCATAGTATCATCATAGAAATTACATATTATGTTTTRCGTAAAGTTGGAATTTCTTTTCCAGTGTATTTTTCCAACAATGACCGGAAATGTATATTACTAATTTTATGTGACGGAATATTACTTGGCATCGATGCTTTACACAGATCAAACGAAAAATTTGACTTTTTTGTATTTGTTACTAATTATTGAACTTTTGAATTTGTATTTTTGGTTTTCTTATATACTGCCCTAGAATGTTTATCTGTTTTTAGAAGTTGTGCCACTATATATTGTCTATCGGCTATCGGCACATATTTGCACTTCACACATTTTACAGAARAAAATATAAAGTCACCAAATTCTGATACGTATTTTTTTTTTTTTTAAATGGCTGATTTAATCGGTTTGACTTTTGGCATTTTAACGGACGAAACAGATGCGACAAAGTATAACATTAACGAACGACAACAGTACGGGCCACAAAAACTTGCTTATGATTCTAGCAACTTCACTAATGTTAGGATTTCGGTATTTTTAAATATACCTGAATGCTGATAGACGATAATATGTGTTATTGAGGGGCAAGTTTTTATCTTAACGACCAAAATGCGGCAATCGCTCTATAGAAATAATTAGTAGGTWTTACAACAAATATAGAAATTTGTTCACTGCTACGTTTAGTTTCTTTTATTTTATATATTAAGTTATATAATCTCAAATGTAAACGAAAATAATGAAAAATAGTTAAAATTACAGTAAAATTAAATTACGAGTTTAATGAAACACATATATCAAGCTCACTTAGCAATAAATATAAGCATTTACAAAAAACATGCAAATGCAACAACTTCACTGCCCTAGTGATAAAGGTATGAAAGGTCTGAACAAATTAATCATAATAATGTATTATGTTTAGTTTACATTCATATAGACTTTGTGTGTTGTTGATTTATGTATGYATGTGTTATGTATCTATGTATTTATTTATTTATTTATTTGTATATTTATTATTATTTATTTTTTTTACATATAATCAATTTGATAATTCATGTAAAAATATGTCAGATGATTAACTAATACCAACTGTTATAAATCCTGTTAATTACTAAAATATTACTACTGTTTTAATAAAATACTCAAATCTATAAGCAAAAAAAAAAAAACGATTTTAAGTTAAACAAAGTTTGAAATTATCTAATTAATATTATATACTATTGAGTATTGTTTAATGTTAATTGTTGTATTTGTGTATAAATTGCATTTTAAATGTTAATTACTGAAGCTACTTAGCTGAACCTGAATTTTATCCAAAAGACTAAGAACATACTATGGTTAAAAGTACCGAGAATTTACTTATGTACCTATGCTAAATTGCTGACTAATGCTGTAGATATCACCTATTTGTCTATGTGTGTATATTCCCATCTCTTAGATATTAACTCTATCAATAWCATTTATTTCKATTATAACTAGTAACTTTAATATCAATACTTAGTTTTAGTAAACAAAACATTTTTAGTTTGTTTTTAACAAAAGATTTCTCAATTTAAAAAAAAAATGTTTAAAGCACAATAATTAATCGAGCAACAAAATAAAAATACAAATATAAAAAAAAATAATTATTAGGTACTTACCTAATTGTTAATTGTTAATTTGTCATAAATTGTTATTACTTATCTGTTATCAACTATATTACAGTTTAGATTTAAATGAACAACAAGGAACTATAGGAACATTCTAAAATATCATGGTATGTCAGTCGTCAGTGCATTGAATAATATTAATTTATAGGTTAGTAGTTAGTATTATTAATAAAGACCTAGATTAGATGTACTAATAAGACACTATATGATGCAGACATGCATGGTAAAAATGACAAAATACCCAATAATATGCACAAAAACTTTCATTATAAGCAGTTTATCAGCATGTTAGTACTGTTAGTGCATTAAAAAAATAAATGAAAATTGATTTAACAAGCAAAACAGGTACCTACCATAGGCGTGTCTAGACCTTTGACGCAGAGGGTGTAACCTAGTGCGTACCCTAGGGGCTAATGGGCCCTTGCCCCCTTTTTTGAATAATTTTTCTTAATAATTCATGGTGCCACTTGAAATTGCAGAGGGTGCAGGTGCATACCCTGCACTCCCTGTGGACACGCCTATGGTACCTACATTATATAAAGGTTTGTCATAAACAGGTAGCAGCCATGTTATTACATATTTATGTTGTTTAATGGCAATAAAAGCAACAAAAAAATTTTTAATTTATTAATTTCATTGTGTCAATAATACACCTAGTATGTTTTATAATTTATAATAATTATTATGATTAATATTTTTTTTTTAAACAAGAAATATTATTTTCGACTACCTATCAACAATTTGTTCGTGATGGTTTTAAATTATTCTCATTGAATCGCAGACGTTTCGCCCCTGCCTTTTCGTCCCCGTCAAAAAAACCAGTCCCCGGACGTTTCGTCTCCGGCAATTTTTAAGATAGGACGTTTTGTCCCGGAGAGTTATTAGACATAAGACGTTTGGTCCATTGGTCCCCGGCATATTTTGATAAGTACTTTAATTTTAAATGAACAATTTAATTTTTAAATGACATAATGATAAATACATAATAAATATTCACACAATATAATAATTATACTATATTATACTATATTAGATATTACAGAATTACAGATATTACAGAAAAAATGATATAATATAGGTATATAATTTTAAATCGTTGATTTGGAAGTTAACTATAGTCATCACTAGGTGACAGGTGTAGGTACAAAATACAAATAATAAAATATAATAAATACGATTAATACGACGAAAAGTCATACGATTTTTCAAGTGTTTGTTATTTTTTTCTTGTTTGMTAGTATAACCTAGTATTATTACTTCGAAATTTCATATAATATAATGTCTGAATGCTGTTTACTTAGAAACCTGAGAACCGAATGTCCTTTAATCAAAATATGCCGGGGACCAAACGTCCTATGTCTTATAACTCTCCGGGACGAAACATCCTATTTTAAAAATTGCCCGGGACGAAACCGCGAAATTTACCATTCTCGATAAATTAGGTCTCGCGGTCTTTTTTGGGAAGAAAATTAGACATTTTTCATTAATTTATTAAGGAACTAGATTTCATTTAGAAAAAATAAATTGCAATGTGCTCTCAATGCCCCAATAATAAGTATTAACAAAACACATTCATCCAAACAAAATTTTTCTAATATATAAAATCAGTTAGATTTGTATGCCCACATTTTAAACCCTCATAGGTAGACAGGTCATGCATACTCTCTWCTCTCTAGTAGTCTAGTATGAATATGAAAATCAGAAAATGTACATAATCCCGGTTTCTATAATTATCAATTTAGTTTTTCAATATATTCGATTAATTTTTATCATTGAGTATCAATATTATATTTAACTTTGTAAATTGTATGATTTCGCACTTTCGAAGGTTAGATCATACATGTTGTACAATGTACATAAACATAATACCACAGAATAGATTATATATTAAACTATAGTAAAAACTAAAAAACCCATGAGGTCTTCTAAATAATATTTTAACCTTTAAATTATATTATAGGTCAATTTTCTCTAATTTTTAAACTAATGTAGCTAAACGTGATCTACTGAACATAACATTTTTTATGTTACGCACTTGAGACAACACATGAGTGTATCACGTCCTTTTAAGTAGCAATAATATAATATATAGCTACCTATGTTACCACAATAATACTTACATACAGTACGATTCACAGGTTGGGCCCAGTCCACTCTGTCACTCTTACGCCTATGTATATCTAAACACAAAAAATGCTCATACAAATTTACCGCCTCATAAGCTCCAACTTGGGGGGGGGGAGCAATTTCCCATCTTGGTCACCCCTTATTAATACGGGCCTGATTAAACYCTACTATTTCCAAGTCGGTTTTGCGCTACGACACAATATTTAATGATTTTATCTCTACCTTCATCACTTTAAACGATATCGTTGTAGCCATAAAATACTATAATTGTCACTATTCGTCCATTCATTCGCGTTATAACGAAAGTACCTCTGTTTTTGAGGAAAAACCTTACTGAGGTAGCGTGGCCGAGCGGTCTAAGGCGCTGGTTTTAGGCACCAGTCTCTCTGAGGCGTGGGTTCGAATCCCACCGCTGCCAGAAGTATCGATTTTTGTATGCAAATTACATATTTTGCAAACTTCGATTAAWTAATATTACTGTACTTTTTTTTATTTTACCTAAATAAATTACTAAAAACATGAAAAAATCAATAAAAGTAATAAACAATGTTACGCAACGATTGGTACTTCGTGGCAAGGACATCCRCAAAGAGAGGGGTTGGGGACAAAGTAGCTGTTGCGCTACCTAAATTTTTTTAATTGCATGYACTTCAATATGAATATTACTATAACTAATAATATACATTACAATATTAATTATAAATAATTTGTATTAGGTACAAGCGTTTGATTCGTGAATGCCTGTCTAAATTGATGCATCGCAATCAAAAAATATTAGTACAATTTTCCTGTCAAAAATTCCCATATAAATTGCATATTATGGTCTTAATTGGCCGAGACCAAAAAAGAAGAAGAAGTGTATTTTTGTTTCCATCAGAATTACCTATAATTAAGTATCTATTAAAATAATAATGAGCATTGGTATTTCTATTTTTGTTATTTACCTACCTATACCTATTAAAAATAATGTGGAACTTATTATAAATTTAATTTTTAAATTCTCCATAGCTCTAGTTTAGTCAATTTTGGGTTTAGGACACAAGTTGATACATCAAAATGGCTTGAAAAAAATCGATAAACCCGAATATGATATTCAAATTACAGGTTGYCATTAAAAAAAATGTAAGTTTTATTGCGCATGCGCAAGATACATGAGTTAAAAAAATTGTAAGTCATAGAAATTTATGATCCATTAGTCTAGTTTAATGTCCCATAAACAGAATTGAAAAATATTTTCATGGTAATGAGTGGTAAAGTGGCCCCTGTATTTTGGGACATACGGTATATATTACAATATGTACGTATTATCATTGATTATAGAATAGAATAGTCTATTCTATAATCAATGGTATTATATAACGTACATACACGTACAAGTATAACAATAATAGTCAATAATAATTAATATGAATATATAACGTATTATTTAAGTTAAAAAATTTTCTAAACCTCTCCAGACTATAAATAAACATAATATAGGTACTTAACAAAATTAATGATATGTAGTTTATTTACTGTAGCCTACTTCCCCTAMATTAATGTTATATTAAAATGTAAAGATATGTTCACCGTCCACCAGGTGGTTATAATTATCTCATGTTTTTGAAGTTATATAATATTTGAAAATGTATTTTTTTATTTGTGCGTTGTATCATATACTGATTATATTAAATAAGTATATAATGTAAGTAATCTTATTTGTTGATGTAGAAAAAACTGTGGTACCTATATGGCTATATGACACTTATGGCAGTCGTATATGACATATTGTAATGTACCCACATCATCGTCGTGATGGTCACCTTCAAGTTCAACGGAATTGAAAAACATGGGATCTGGCGCCATATTTATAATGTATATATATTAATTTATAACACTATATATGATATATCTGTGGAATATAATATATAAACCGCATGAACAAAGAAATAACTATCATATTATTCATAATACAAGTAATAAAAATAGTATACCTTAGTACCTAGTTAATATGGCATAATAATGAGTAATATACATTATACACTATGATAATATATCAGATATATGTATTCGTATAGCGGTGTGGCCGATGGTGATGTCGAAGGCGATTCATCTATGTATATAATAATATAATATTATTATATGCGACACAACGTGGATCCGTCGTATAGGTAATATAGAACCGCAAGTGTCCAATATCAAATTTGATCAAGATGGACTAACAACTAGTGAATAATATTTATAATC